ATCAGCTAAAAAATTCATTATTAAAAAGTTGATATACAAAGAATTATTAAAATTAAAGGATCTACATAATTTCTAATTTAGCTTATATTCCTTATATTTCTAATTTTGCAGATCAGCTTGATTAGTCTAATATGTCTGATTTTTAATATATTTAATATATTGATTATACTTTTTATATTTCTTATATTTATTATGACTGGTATATTTATTATATTTTATATATTTTATATATTTATTTTATTAATATTTTTATTATTTTTATTCAAAATTAGTTAATTATATTATTAGAAATAATAGTATAAATTATTATAAATAAGTTAATTCTTATTAATGTAAAGTTAAACTGTAATATCTCAAAATATTAATAACACTAATATCAATAATAAACTAAAATATAATAAGAAATCAATATTAAAGTTAAACATAAATTTTCTTCTTTCTTTATATTCTTCATCTAAGAATTGATATGATACCTTATACTATACTATACATTTAATTTATCAGTAAAAGAATTGTAAATAAAATAGAGATATATATTGCCAGTTCAAGAAGTCAAATACCTATAGTAGTGATGTATACTTGGAAGATTGAAAGCATTTTTAGAAACATCTTTGTAAGGTTTGGAATTATAATTTACTAGAAAAATCATTTGGATTGAAAGCTTTCAATTAAATTTTTACTATTAAAAGCATAAATACAGGGTTAGGAAGTACAGTGTTAGTACAATGATTAGTACAGTATGTACAGTTAGTACAGTTAGTTCATTATAATAATTAATATAAAATTTAGTACAAGTACAGTAGTAATTTTATCTAATACATACAAAATTCCTAACCCTGCATAAATATATATCATTGCTTATAGCATATGAATTCGCTAAGATTAAAAACTCTATAGGAGTTGTCTGTCTTGTGTTGTAAATGACATCAACTAAGTTTTTGTCAAAAGAAATAGAAAATTTAAAATTGATTAATAAAATAAAAAATTATTATCACATAAGGAATAGAAGTAATATTTGATAAAATAATTAATTTAAAATATTAAAAATATTAAAAAAAATAATATTATTATTATTTTATTATAATATTTATAAATATATTAATATTATAATTTATTATTATAATTTAAATTGATTAATTTTTAATAATTACTATTATATATATTAAATTATTCTTTAAAAGTTTAATTATATAAAAAAATATTAAATTATTTATTATAAATTTCAATATAGTATAGGAGTTTATCAATAAAAATAAAAAAAAATCCAAAAAAAGTTTTTATGAGTTAATATTAAATCTAAACATATTTTACTAATAAAATCATATCTTCTTATTCTATATATATTAAAATTATTATTTATTAATTTTTTAAATAAAGAATAAAATAAAAGATTTACTATAATTAGATAAAAATTTAAATGATACTTTAAACCTTAATAACCTATTAAATAAAATTTTTAAATTTTAAAAGCTAAAATTTAAATTTTTATTCATTTTTTTTAATATACTATATATTTTATTTTTTAATATAATACCTTTATTATTTATAACAAAAAAAGACTGATTAAATGAATTTATATTTAAGAAATTTATCATTTTATTTGTTCTATATTTTATTTATTAATTAATCTAAATTTAATTAATTTTAAATCATCATTTTCACATAATAATTAGAAATTTATTATTAATTAATAATTTGTATTTAAATATAAACTTTTTAAAATTTTGATTTATCTTTAATTTTATCTAAATTTAATCAATATTATATTTACAATAATTATTTTTATTATGTTATATTTATAATAACTTTATATATTAATTTCTAACTTTAAAAATATAAATATATAAAAAAGTCAAATGTTTAATAATAATTTAAAATAATTAATAAAGCTAAATAGGAGAATTCCAAAATTAAGATTCTAGTTTTCAAACTAATAAACCAAAACTTTAAAATTTATCAAGATTAAATCATATTACTAAAATTTATATGTTATTTTTATATATAAATATATATATAAATGCAACAATTTTGACATCATTATTAATTTATTAACTAATATAGATTTTAAGTAATAAAAAAAATTATGTTGATTAAATTTGTAATTCGTAGTTAATACTCAAAAAAAGAGTTTAAAAGAGAAGATTTTAAATTTATAAATTTATTCTTATATACTATTATTTTACTGTATATATATGTTTTTATATACTTTTTATCTGTTTAAAATAATTTGCTAAATATTTAACTTTTGCTATATATTGCTAGAAATAAAAAAGAAGATAGGAATAGAATCCAATTTGAAAAAGAAAAAACGGGAGTTATAAAATATACACATCGTAACTATTATTTTATAAAAATGATAATAGAAATTCCATTAATCACTTGCAGTGACAGAGGCATTACTTATTTGGCATTTGAGCCAACCAATTTGGAGGACTAATTCCAGTTTGTTCTTGAATAGTTGACAAAAGTGGAGGTAAAGATTGAAAGATGTTTGCTACAGGATTCGTGGAAGATTCTTCATTCCCGGTATTCCACACAGTAATTTTAGGATTAAGACCTTGGATGGCACTAGCGTTTTCTTTGGCCAATTGTTGATAAACACCACGTTCAATCATGATATATTGTAGAGCCGCATTACGGTCACCGCCGAAGGCTTCCATTAAATTCTTTATACCTTGAGCTTGAGCGTTATAAATTGCTAAAAGACCTTCTGCCTCTTTTTGTTTCTTAAAAAGTTCGGCTTCGGCTTCTTTTTGCTTTTCATATAAACGCGCATTAGCATTCGCCTTAGCTGCTTCGAATTCAGCTGTTGCTTTAGATACATATTGTACACGAAGACGTTCTGTTTCCGATAATAATCGACGCTCTTCAACTTCCTTTTGAAGTTCAGATTCACGAATCTTTGCCGCTTGTGTCGATTCAATAGCTGCAATTTGAGTGGCACGATCAAATTCCGACTTTTTTGTGGCCAAATTCATGTTTGCTTGCGCCACGGATATCTGACGTTCATTTTCCACTAAAATTGTGTCCGATTCAATCTTTGCAGTTTCACGACGCGTTAGACCTTCGCGTTCCTTTGCGCCGACATTACCACGGTATTTCGCTTCAGCCACATCCACTTTTGCTTGATTCACCGCACCTTCATGCGTTTTCATTCTCTAGGTTAATCGAAGAGGAAGGAAGGGTAAAAAAAAAAAAATTTTTTTGATAAATATTACGCGTAAATTTTTTTTTTTTAAAAAAAAAAGAATTATTATATGTTCAAATGAAATAGACGTACCATATAAGCAAAGTATTCGGAACCTTGAGTATCTTGAAGTTGTTTAACGTTAGCATTATAAATGAACAAACCGAATTGATCCAATTCCGCTTGTACATTCTTAATGACTTGATCTTTGAATCCTTTCCTTTCCTGAAAAATTTCTTCCATCGTCATTGCGGCCGCAATAACCCTAGTTTCACCTTCAATAATACCACGAACCAATTCCTTCACGTGATCACTGTTCTTATCATTTGCCGCCAAAAGTTTTGCGTACCGTTCCAAAGATTTTTGTTCATCCTTTGGCCCAATGGTGAATACTGCGGGAAGATTGAATTCCAACTTTTCAGCACTCATCGCTTGTAATTGCAAAGTATAGTTTGCTGGAGTTATATCAAAGAACGTCGACCTTTGAACTGGTGACAGAGAGAGAGAGAGAGTTATTTTAAGCGAATCATTCAAAGAAAGAAATTACATAAATAACTATGATAAAGAATATCAATTATAATTACATGGCAGCACCCATGCTTTTTTTTTGATGGAAACATCTTTGACAAGTGCACCAGTTTTAACCAAGTATTGACTTGGGTCACTAGATAAAAAAAAAAAGAAGGTAAGGAAAATATCTTAACAAATAACGAAAGGAAAACCTAATGATGATGATAAATATCATACCTGATTCTGTACATGATTAATGCGTGAGTTGTAAAAGAAATAAAAAAAAAAAAAAAAGTGGAACTTTATCGAAATAACAATACTGGAGTTTTAAGCAAAACCACCAAAGAAATCAAATTAATGATTATATCAATGATATAAACAGATTTAAATAAGTAAATTTGTTTTATGATAAAAAAAAAAGCAAGGTTATATTAGGGAAAAAAGGTAAATTTTGTCTTGCAAAAAAACGAGAAAATTTATATAAAAAAATCTTTGACGATTATGACCAAATATGTCAGGAAGTTTCTATAAATGAAGATGGATTATTTATATAAATAACCTTGATCACTTGATCACACGGCGATAAGATAAATAATAATTTCATTAAATGAAAAAAAGAAGACAAATGCGTTAATATCTGAAATGAGCATTTCAGATATCCGAAATCAGAATGCGCATTTGGGATATCTTAAATGCGAAGATCGTTTCGGCATTTATCCCAAACGATCTCTTGGGATATCCCAAATGAACGTTTCGGAATTCCGAAAGTATATTCAACATATGATTTTGATGATCATGTGACCGGGAAACTTCGTTTAATTATTTCCTGGTTGCATGATCATGAGGGAATACCATGCTTTTTTCCTTCGGGAAAAAAACCATATTATTTCTTATAGAAACATAATGCAGAATTCTAAAGAATTCTTTATAAAATTTCTTTTTTCTTCGTTAAAATAAATTTTGTGTATATCTGAACAGATTTAGTATAGACCAGGATATTCTTACTTCCATGTATTAAGCAAACATCGCGTGATGAATACGAAAGAAGTTAAACCGGGTCTAATTTAAGAACATCTTTTCGCCTTTAACATAGGTCGGTAAAACAATGAAATGATTGTTAAATTGTTAGAGATTTCTTGATGATCGCGTAGAACAACATCAATGATATTAATAATTAATTAATTTACAAGATTAAATTTTATTGGTTTTTTAAAGTAGTGCTATAATTTTATTTATTATATTAAGTTTATTTATGTATTACTGAATATATTATATTTCTTTGTGATAATAATACAGACAAATTTTATGCAAAAGTACATACTCCGCAGTCTGCGGCAGTTAACTGATTTTTGGAAAAGTTGCAACTCGCATAAGCATTCTGACAAATCCTATTAGGTACATCGCCGGTCAATGTATTACCATTTAAAGACCTAAAAAAAGAGAATAAATTTATTCATATTATTTTTATTATTATTTTTTTTTTATAAAATTTATTTAATTCGTTTTTATATACTTACAAATTATTCAGGTCCAATGTGCCAAGTGATTCAGGAATGGCACCAGACAACTGATTATTACTTAAATCCAATTCCTTTAATGCCTTCAAAGAAGATATTTCACTAGGAATCGGGCCACCCAGTTGGGTATTATTAACAATTGTTAAACTTCTTAACGAAGTCATTTTACCCAATTTATTTGGAATGGGTCCAGTCAGGCCAGTGGATATAAAGGCCATCTCCTCTAAATTTTCTAACTTAAAGTAATCTGCGAGTAATGAACCGTTTGGAACTTTACCATCGCCAGTAATCGATAACTTCTTCAAGGTAATTAATTCACCCAATGTAGAAGTAATCGATCTTGAAACAAAAGGGAATGCGAGCTTTAATTCGATGATATTCTTTGAATCATCACATTTGACACCTCCCCATGAACAATAGTCGTTATCTTTCATCCAATTGAATGCCTCCATCCGTGTTTGATTGACAGAACTGAGCCATAAATTTTTTAGGACACAGAATGAAGTTACATTATAAAATTGTTTGCCGCTAATTAAGCATTGATCGCATGGAAACAATTTAAGAATTTCCCCTGGAGATCCAAGCAGGGTCGAGCATACAACTGCCGAAATATTTTCTTCTTTTACTACAGCAGTTTTAGTTTCATTAATTGATGATATGCGAGCATACATGACATCTAACGCTATTAAATTAGCCAGTATAGATGATAGTATTAACATTATCGTTATCCATAAAAATATCATGCAGCAGCTCCTTTTTTCTTTTATGATTTTCTCATTATGCATCGGTAACGAAGGTTCTTTTGGCTTTTTATTTTTTTTGCCCCACGGAAGATACGAAAATAATTTTGTCCACCACATTTTAGAAGATTTTATATTTGGAGGGGGATTGATCGTTTCACTGGCTACCTTTTTTTTTCTTTTCGGTCTTTTACGATGTTCTTCTGAATCACTATCTGATGAAAAAAACGAACTTTCAACAGTAATTTCACTTTCGTTCCTATTATGTCTGTTAAACGAATAACCAGCCTGCCGGTCTAATTCACCTTCTACAGTAATATTTCTCCCTTCTGGAGTTGATGACGTTCTTGGTGATGAATTGTAAGGATTCAAAGTCATTCGGGGAACGAAGGGAAAATATAGTTTTTTTTTTACAAAACAAAAAAAAAATTAAGGTAAAGAAATAATACCAGATTATTTCTTTACTCACTATATTTCACCAAATCATTATTGACGAAAAAAACCCACCGCTTTTTATATCTGGTTCTCCACAATACCCAATTAATTTCTTTGTATATTATTCCTTTCTTTTGAAACCTTTATTTAGTGAAACGTTAATTAGGTTTGTCTAATTATAGTGGGTGGACTGCATGATGCTTGTAGCATACTTTAAAAAGGGATGATTAATTGTTTAGGCTAATATTAGAAAATAATTCTGCGGGTGTTGACGGAAAATTAATTGTTTATTGGATCTCATTGAATCAATCATAATTTAAATTTTCGCCACATCATTTTCTAACTTTTTATAGATCGTACTACAATAACTGAATTATCTGAATTATATAATTATATAATTATATTCTATTCTATTCTGTAGATGTGATTATCTAATCATAATTTAACGTCTTCAAGGCCGTAAATTAATTTGCACGTGAAATTTAGATCGGCCTAAGTTTGTCGAAAAGGAAAAGAACCTGAAAACCTATTCCTGTGCCACCACAAGGATTAAAGAATTTTTTTCGTTGAACCCGAAACAGGTGATGTTACATTTGTAATTCTTTTTTGGAACACCTTATTTCACCATAATATTTTAGGCAAATTATTTGTGTCCAATGATATGAATATTGACATTTGTGGAAGTATAGGAAAAATTTTATCCGTTCAAAATATCAAACGTGACATTATTGAAAAGGAAATTTTTAATCTTCATACTTCTTTATAGTAATCTTTTTTTTATCCTTTTACATAAAGAATTATACAAGGCCTCATAGGAATATTCTCGAGATGTCACTATGTCTCCCAAATCGAAACAATTGAAGTATATGCATGCATTGTTATGATAACAAACAAAGGTTTTTTTTATTTCAGGTTTCAAATCCTGAAACCGATTTCGGATCGACTTTGACTCAGGGGATAATTCCGGTTGATATATTCGGATGGGTTATGGGCTCACCCGAAAATTAAGTAATAATGATTGTATGAATAACAAACGACAAAAAAAATCCACAATGGGTTGGCTTCTTCAATCGTAATATCGAGGCTAATTTACTTCCTTTTTTTTATTGATAGTTATCATTTACACTATTTACTGTATGTAAGGTTCGCCCGTACGTTCCAAACAACCATTACCTCCCGTTTATGGTCGTCCTATAGATACAAAAACTTGGAAAGAAATAGCAGGTATTTAGCTGTCTTGGTCAAATTGAGTGATTTTGTTCTGTTAACTCATGTGCATACTTTACGTTAGCCCATACGGCTCCACAAGATATGCAAAGAGAGGCGTTCAGATATGTTGTTCGCAAAAATTGGAACCTTTATTTGAGGTTGCGAGACGATTGAAAGCAATGACAGTTCCTTCCAAAAAGTATTCTACCGAAAATGATTATGAGACAAAGTGGTATTATTTGGACTTGGATCTTTTTATTGATGTACATGGTATCTTATTGAAAGATTTGTGTCAACAACGGTATGTTATGAACATAGGCTTGCTAGATTCCGCTTTACAAAGACCAAAGTTCATGTTTTTTTACAATAAAGCATCATTGTTTAAAATGGCTGCCGGCCTTGGGGAAAGTATTATTAAGAACCATACATTTTTAGATGGGAATAAGAGAGCCGGTCATCTTGCTATTTCTATGTTTTTACTTCTTAATGGTTATGATTTATTTGCGGATGAGGATTCTGCTGAGCATATTATATTGAATGTAGCTATGGGTAAAATTAATATTGATATGCTAGAATCTTGGATTGCTAGTAATGTGAAAGCTTGCGAATGAAATTCTTTCGTTCTTGATTAATGTGTTACTTTTAATAAAGAATGTCTTTGTAAATGACTATGATAATTCTGAACTGATAATTATTTTTTTTCCCAGATATACACTCACTTGTTCGATTTTTTTTCTTTCCAAGTCTGAACTGCATTCTTGTCCAAATTGGTTTCATGGGTTTTGACATTCGTGGGCATCAAAGCTTCGTCACATCTGATTAAATCTTTTACAAAACCGTACTGGAATCTGTGATTGACACTTTCACCTCTGGAACTTTTTGCATTTCATTGATATTATTTATGATGATATAGTTGATATAGTGTTGTACTAGTTACATTATTCTCGTTACCGGTCGGACTATTATGAGAAGTCATAACTGGTAAAAATTATTTTTGTGCCATTTATCTGAGCAAAATAAAGTGTGAGATTATTTTTTATTTATTTCTTTTTTCGTTGTGAAATTAAAAAAATTTTTTTTTATTCATAAGCTTTTTAAAATAAACCCTTAAATACATACATACATACACTCTTTCCGATTTTAAAATGATGTTTCAACCTCCAAAAGCTTCATAAATGGTTTCCTATATACCAAATGCTTCTAGGACTATTGGCTAGCTGGTAACGCGCACCACACGAACCCTTAAAATCCAAATAAATTAAAGTGTATATTACGGGTATCGTATACGTCCATTGGACCGAACAATTTTTCGAAAACGAATACAATTCCTCCACCAAATCGTATGAAGTTCAATCACGTACAATCCACCACCTCCACGAACTTCAAACTCCGAATCAATCGTTAATATTGTGGCAAAGTAAAAAAACTTACGAACATGGAACATGGAATTTTCCGTTTCAACGTCCGTGTAAACGACAAACTAGGAAGAACTCGTTATATTGGCCTTCCACTTTTCATTATTTAGCTGATAACGATGATGGCAAAAAAATAACTACCGCATTTGCCCAAAGAAGTAAAAAGACCTTTAAGATTAAATTATTCACAAAAGAATTGCCAACCAACCGTTACCTAGTATACCTAGTAATTTGCCACCGTCGATGAGTTTAAGTGACGAAATCGGTCAGATATATTATGAAGTCAACGCTACAATTAGGAGGAAATGTAATTTTTAGAAGTTCCAAGGTTCAAAGATGTGGTTAAATAATGTGTGTATTCGATTACGCAATATTGTTTAATGCCAGAGCAGATGGATATGATATTAAGGTGGATTATAACACGTTTGGACCTCGGGAATCCTATTATGTAAAAATTCTTTAAAGCTCTAAAATTAAAAGAAGTATTTGTTAGATTAAATAGAGTGTATCATATGTTGAAGGCTTTTTGGAAAACGAAATTTATCAAAGATTATGTACTGGAAGGAATATAAGTTGAAAACGGAGAATAAAGCTGGTTAAATTATTATATCATAAAATTTAAATTTCAAGGCCAGAGTCGACAAACATTAATTTAGAAAAATTGGGTAATATTGAGAACATTATCAAAGTCTTGGTAGATGAACCATTTTTTAAAATCAATTTTGACAACGACGATGGCGATAATAATCTTTTTTTAAAAAAAAAAGTATACTATCTTTCTCTGAAAATGGGAATCAATAAAAAAAACATATCATATTTAGTTATAAAAAAAGGTACCGTAATATAAAATGTGACAATTTTACACTTAAAAGTTATTATTAACTTGAATTTATTAATAACAAAAACATTTAATATTAAGTTTTTAACACTATTTTTTTTTTTAGAAGTTAATTTAATTTGGATATTTAAATTCTGAATAAGATGATCTAAAGTATTTGTTTAAAAAGATTTATTCCTTAAACTTTAGAACAGCAAATATTAACTTTAATTTAACAAATATTTTATCAATATGATAAGAAATTTTTTAAAATAATGCAATTTTAAAATCAAGTTTTAAAAAGTTTAAATATAATTATTTTAAAAGTTTTTTAAAAATTTATATTTACATATTAATTAAATAACTCTATTACTAATAAGGGCATAAAGTTTCTTAATAAGTATAAAATGATTATAATTAAATTTTTCTTCATAATAAATTTATAATATTGTATTATAATTATTATATTAAAATAAATTTGCAACTAATTACAACTCAAGTATAATTTATTAATCTTAAATATAGTATCATTTTTAATAAAAATCATTTATAAATAAAATCAAAAGTTAAAAATTATTAAATATATTACATTTTTACATTTTATATAATTTTTTTATTATAATTTTAATTGAAAATAATCAAGAAGTAAAATATATATAAAATAATAGAATAAGTTGAAAAATAACAATTTTTGAGTTAATTAGAAATATATAAAACTAAATTAATCAATTTCAATTATCTAAAAATCAAAATGATCAAATCTATTAGAGGTTTAAAATTAAATAATTAATAGTTAATGTCATTAGTGAGATATCACCACATAATATAATTATATTATATGGTGATATCCCACTTGCTCTAGATTATAGTACCACTATAATCTAAATATTACTATATAAACTAATAATACTATATAATCTGAGTACTGCTCTATGATCTAAATATCACTATGTAATCTAAAAGATATAATCAAACTATTATCATATAATCTAAATAATATAATATATATCCCTTTAAACCTTTACTGTTATTCATAAATTTGTTATTATATAATCTAACTATTACCAATCATTTAATCTAATTATCATTATATAATCTAAATAGCACTTATTTTTCTTGTTTCTAATCTGTTTATATATCAAATTTTATATTATTAGCGCTAACTTTTTATACCTGTTTGGAAAGCTGATTCTATGTTAAGATTGTTAACAATCTGTATCTGTTTGGATGTCAGATTCTATATTGAGGTGCTTACCTTTTTGCATCTATTTGATTACCTGTTAAAATGCCAAATTGTGATAAAAAAATCATATTGAATGATGTAGTAAATTTGGGTGGTTTAATCTCTGAATTCAGAATAGGGATTTCGTTGACCAAGCACGAAAAATCCGGCCTTGTTGCAGTACCACTTGTCGCACGATTCAACCGAATATTGTAACCTTTGTATGAACTAGCAAAAAACAGTGGTCGGATGATTGGATGTAACAACCTGAAACAGTGCTCATCTTCTGATGTTTTGGTCGGGACAATGTCAGGAACACTGCTACACCTGTTATGCGCGAAAAAAAAAGTTAATAGGCAGATCCGATTTCATTTTACACGCTTTATAAGATGAACGCCTACATGTTGTTAAAGATTCGAGAAACAACTCGGCCGATTTCAGAATCGCCTATGGACAAAAAGGCGGTCTTTCCTTTCAAGGAATCGGCCGATGCACTCCATAAAAAAGATAAAATTTCCGTTGGCAGAATTGAATCAGCTACAATGTAAGGATTCTCACGTATAATTGTTTGCCATTCCCGGCCAGTGAAAATATGATAAGGACAATGCAAGCTTAAAACAATTATCGAAGACAATGCTCTATCAAAGCATAAATAGAAATCATTAGCATAATACATTATCCAATATTATTACATCCAAAATACTTACAGCACTTCATGAAAGCCACTCCACTTTAGTCCATAAATCTTCGCTTTCTCAAGTGTTTCTATCTGGTAATTTTTGAATCTTTGCGATACATTGACCGTACTGACTTTCCACTAAAAGCGGAAAGCAAATTGTTAATATGTGCAGAATAAAAACACCAGAGTCTTTATATGTGGCATACCTCATTTGATTGTTCCCGTAACAACTCCATTTCAACACTTGTGAAATCAAATTTTATCTCTTCATCATCGTCAGGCCCTACATCAGAAGAGGCAACTCCGAGGAAGAATTTTCACTTTTATTTCTCGATTTCTGGGTCTTAGTCCTTGAAGTGTTTTTCACCTCCTTTTTCGCCTAAATATAGTAAAATATACATAAGTTTTTATGTTATCTTAGCTTTACCATCTACAATTTTTTTTTCACCTTTTTATGATTTGGCAATTCAACTTTTTCATTTAACATTTCATCTTCCTCGTTCTGATTAGTTGCATTCTTCGGATCCTTTTCATGCTGAGATACATAAAACGGATTATTGCCAGCATCTACGGTCATTTCTCCCTCATTCAACTTCCGTTTAAGGGCTATTATTTCGCATCAAGAGAAAAGATTAAAATATATAATACAGGATGTAATGAAAGACGAGTTGATGTATTACCAGGTTGTATAGTCTCCCGCGTAGTGTTAGAAAGTGCTTCGCTAAAATCAGTCTGCAGGCCTAACACTTGGTGAATTATGTTTTTTTGAATTTGCAACTGATGCTTTTCTTAACGCTTCCATAACAGTAGAACTGTTGTTCCAGAACTCCTTGACTTTGGACGATTTTATATCCTTCTAATATATGTAGAAAAAAAGAACAGATTGCCATGATACCTTTAGACTCATCCTAAGGTAAAAGTGCACCCAAAAGACTCATCTCTCAGGAATTCAGACTCATCCTAGCACTTTCGGCAATTAATGAAGAGGCTGCAACAAAATGCATTCTCCAGACTCATCCAGAGAAGTTTCGGACTCATCCTAGCCTTTGCTATAATCTCAAAACAAACAAACAAAAAAAAATTCCAAACCTCAAATGAACTAATACAATTCGAGACCAGCTTATCTACGAGTTCACTGCTACAAGACTTTAGTAGTTGCGGTTTGAGACGAAGTTTCTCTAAACAAACTTTATATAAAAGGTGTTCGTCCTGTTTATCCCCGAAACTTTTTGCGAACACTATACTCCACTGTAAGAAATCGATCAAGCTCCACGTTTCATTGTTTTCAAAATAAGGAAGTCTAGATTCCCAACGTGCATCTTCATAGGTAGTCATGATTTAAAGGTTTAAAAAATTTGGTTCTAGGATGTTGTCCCAATTCTATTAACGCCTCGGATTTTGTGAAATAGATTATGATTGGTTAAAATTTTGTTGCTGATCATAACTAAAATTAATTTTTCATTTTAACGCGATCTTTTCGTTAGGGTGGCCCATTTTCTGCTGCGTTAAACTCAAATTATGCCTGCTTTATATAGTAAGATATGCTAATATATGCGAAAAATTTTTATAAAATATGCTTCGTT